TCCCTTCATTTGCTTACCCACACAGTGTGTCTGACTTCAGTTTCCTGGGTCTCTGGTGGTTTGCTATGGAGACACAGTCTCAGTCCCTAACCCCTTATCAAGCCCTCTCCATCTCAGTGCCCAGCCTGGTAATCAGGACACAGTTGTACCACACATCTCTCCCTTCTCTACCACCCTTATTTTTTTTCTCCATTTTGGGGAAACGAGAGGAGTGACTGTTTTGTCTCGCAATCCCTCTGTTGAATGCTTCTTCTTTGGGTTCTAAGGACAATGTAAAAATGACCCATCAGCTCTAACCTTTGGTGGGTGTAGGAAGGAGATTTATAAAGACAGTGCAATACTTCTCTGTAGCACCAATTCTAATTTGTATTAATAATAAAAACTCAGAGTCAGCTATCAGGGGGTGGAAGTTGAAGGACCAGAGAAACAGAGAAGACAGCTATTAGAGAGCTCTTACCTCTACCAACGCTCAGTCCAAAGGGATGATTCTGTCCTCAGACTGCACTGAGCTCCTGTCTCCTTCAGCCTTATATTCCTCCCTCTGCCCAGCCATATCGCTCCTGTCTCCACCTCCCTAGTGCTGGGATCAAAGGCATGTGATCTCAAGTGCTGGGATCACCTTTGTGTGAGCTCTGTTTCTCTTTTAGACTAGATCAATTTTTGTGTAGCCCGGGATGGCCTTGAACTCACAGAGATTGGCCTGTTTCCTTGGATTAAAGGTGTATGCCACCACTGCCTGGCCTCTGTGACTAACTAGAGCCTTAGCTCTGCACTTTTTCTGACCTTCACTTTTTCCTTGCAATATAACTAAGATTTCTACATGCAAATGTTAGAGATTCAGCATGAATTTTCTTCTTCCATTCAACAATTGCCTTTTCATATCTCCTCAATCATCTTAATGTCCAGACAAAAGCAAATTCCAAAGCATGGAGCATTTGGTATACTTCCAAATGTAATCATTGACATTTTATTTCTAAAATTTTATTTTTTTAAAAAAAATTTGAAATATGGTTCTCATTAACAATATTCTTTTGGAATTAATTTTTAGCATCTTTTGTCTTTCTGTAGGGAGTTGTGTCCTTTATATTTTGACTTAACTAACTATAAAGAACTCTAATTTTAGCGGGTCCTTTGATATGATTTTTTGCTTTATGAGTTTTCATTAGTTGTGATTTGTAAACTGGAAGGCACTTTCTTGAACCTGTTAATATCATATTCCCCAAAGTTCCATGGCTATGAAGAGCTGTCATTCGGGACAAATTCTACCAGGAAATACATTCTAGACATTCAGGATGAATCAGGGTAAGTGGATCTTACACAGTAGTTCTTACATTTTGTCCAGTATGGATGAATGGTAGGCTCCGAACGTAGGAAACACACACACGCCAAACTGATCTGCCGCGTATCCTCTGAACCTTTAGGGAGACAGTCACCCTACATGGAGGAATCTATTGTTGGTGCTGGATGTCCTGTGGTTCCTCCCGAGGTCCTTATGGCTCAGAGACTGACCTCCAGGGATGTCAAGAGGGTTTCTCTAATCACAAGTTCCCCTTGCATCTAGCCACCGGCAGGCTGTGGCAGAAGATGGAGAATGTGAAAAATGGGAGCTCAGCGTGACCACTTTCTGTCCCACTTCCTGAAGGATCCCGAGTGTTCTTCCCCTAAAGATGGCTCCGAATGGGGTTACTGTAGCGCGCATCCGTGGCTATGGCCATTGCTCCCATATTACAACAATTCCTCCCTTCTTCCTGGAGAACCTTTCCAACAGTGGTTCTCAACCTGTGGGCCACGACCCCTGTGGGTTTGAAAGATCCCTTTGCAAGGGCCACATATCAGATATTTACGCTGTGATTCATAACAATCACAAAATTACAGTTATGAAGTAGCAATGAAAATAATTTTATAGTTGGAGGGGTCGCCACAACATGAGGAACTGTAGTACTGATGGGTTGCAGCGTTCGGGAGGTTGAGAATCACGGATTTAAGGCCTAGGAGTTAGATGTAGTCACCTGTTGTGACCACATCAAGGGTGCTTTGTCATATTTTACCAGGTTCCATGTGACCCTAAGCACAGCTTCAAACTCTCACGAGTTACAGCACTGGAGTGAACCGTCTCCATCCCGTCAAATCAGTGACTCCTGTAACCTCCTCATCAAATGCTGTGATTCATATAGACTTTCTCACCCCCTTCCCCTTAAACTCCATTTTTGTGACTTAATATGGAATTTTATGTCATAGTTTAAAAATGGTATTGGTGCTACAAATGTTATTTCATGCTGAGGATATTTTAGGACACATTGATGACACCTTACATTCAGTTCCCTCAAAAACACTTCAGAGTGATAGAGAAACTCTTGTTTAGGCAGCTCGAAGACTCACGCGAGGACTTTGTCTGCATTCTTGAGTGCGTGCGTGCCTGCAGTCAGTCGCTCAGGTGTCTAGAGTAGCTGTCCAAAAGAATACATGAGTTGTGTGTTTTTTAAGTCATTGCGCAGCCTAAAAAAAATTACATTCTGTTCCCTTCACAGAACAATGATCTGGCTTCATATAGAATTCATGAATCACCATCCTCTCTACAGCCTTTAGCTGTTGCTTCCGATAGCGCCTGTATTTTAAGAGCACGAAGATGGAGTCTGGGGCCGACCCAGTTTTCCCTCCGGCCCAGTCCGGCCAACCTGCTCCCCGCTGCTGTCAGCCAACAGTTCTGTAGTTCAGAAAACTCTCCTTCCCACACATGCACACTTTTAAAGCATGAAAATATCCTTCTTTTTGAAGCTTCCTATGAGATTTAGCATTCAACGACACTTCTAGTCTGTTCCAGTCTGCACCATAATGCTTACAAAACCACGATTTTCTGAAGTTTGCCGATTGGTTGTGAAGACTTGGCTATGAGCACGAATGCTTTTTTCTCTTTCAATCACTTTTCCACTTAGGATCAGCATGGACACAAGCTTTTGTAATTTTTCCCTAGTGATTCGTGATCTGTCACTTTGCTTTAATTTATTATTCAGATTTCCCAAGACCTGAATAGAACAAATCCCTCTGCTCTGAGGTACTGTGATTAGAATCCTGCTGTCCATTTCCAAGATGATGAAGGGGCACAGAATCAAATGTCTGTTGTCAAAGGACCCAACCTTGAAATGATGTCATTTTCTCACGGTACGTATATAACCAGGGTTGCTATTAGGCTTCAGTAGACAGAGTTCATTGCATAGGTCTTCAATCATCCCTCGAGGACACGTGCTTTTATACACTGAGAGTCATTAGAGTCTGGATTCAGTCGTAAGTATATGCATATCTATGGACAAACTTTAGGGAGGGCTCATATAATCTGAAACTAGGGTGTGATCTATTTATTATTGTAGTAAGGACCCAGGACCCTGGAAAGGTCGTAAACTCACAGTCTTTGGTAGTCACACCAAACAACCAACCTTGGCTTTAAAATGTCACTTTGATCCCTTCTGTCTGGAGTCTCAGAGTACTAACAAGCCTTTATCCCCCTCACCTCCTTCTTACCTCTCTCTATCAGCAAGCAATCATTTCCACCCTTTTCAAAGCTTTTGTAGTCACTGTGCTGAGTGGGTGCGGCTCTCAAAGGCTATTCAAGTCTCTAGAAGGATCTGTAAAGACCAGAGTGGAGACCCTGGGATAGCACATAGAAAATGGAAAAAAAAAAGGGGGTGTTTTCCTCTTTACCTCCATGTGCGTGTTGTCATTGGTGACCGCTCAGGGCACCTTTTTGAATGTGTCAGTAATGTGTGTGTAATGTACGCATGTCTCAAAGAGCTGTGTACAAGGACATACAAGCCCATATCTTAGCCCCATCCTGCCATTCAACTTGTGACACATGGTTGTCAGAGATAGCACCCAGTGTCCCTGGGCTCTGCCTTCCCCACAAGGCTGCCACATGCCACCGAGAGAAGCAGTTCCCTTTCTCTCGTTTTGCATAATCAGTTTCTATTCTGTCGTGTTCTCTCGCACATGGTGCTCTGAGACTGTGCTGGAAAACAGAGGAGATTTTTCAGTTCAGATGAGTAGCATAATTTTACGTTGTTCTCAGCCTGTTTGGTAAATGAAGTCAATTACTCATAGATCTGTCAGAGGAAAAGAAGGGCTCCGTGGAGGCATGGCACCTGCTTTTAGATCCAGGCACCATCTCCTCCCTCCCGTCCCACTGAGAATCATAACAAATCAAAGCAATGTCCTGAGAGTCAATATTTTCAGACGTCTGCCTTTAAAATCCACAGCAGGGGTTTCTTCAGGGGCTGCTGACAAATCCCCCTTCTTTGAATACACTAAGATTCTTCAAGCCATGTCTCTATCAGGTTTCTGCAAACACCACTGAATTCGTTTCCATTCCTGTTGTTGCAATAAAATATCCCCCCCCCAAAAAAGGCACTTTAAGGGAGAAAGGTTGATTTTGGTCCAAAGTTCAAGGGTACAGTCTGCGTTGGTGTGGGAGCACTGCTGGCGGGCGCTTGAGGCAGACGGTTGTGCCACATCTACAGTCAGGGTGGCGAATAGCCTTGCTTCCTTCTCTGTGCTATGCTCTCCAGGACACAAGCCCAGTTTTACCATAGCCCGTCTCATCTCCATTAACTTCAAGAAAAACCCCTACTAGGCTTGCCCAGAGACTGTACTGATCTCAATCCTCCCTCACAAGTGGGCCTGGGGATCTGTCTCCTAGCTGATTTCAGATCCTGAGTTGAAAACCAACGCTAACCATCACAGCCACGTACTACTTGGATCAGAGATTCGATTTTGTCATTGACAATACTCAGGCTAGCAAAATCACACCTCCTTGAAGCCTGAAAAATAACAGCGGAATGGTGACAACATTTCACCTTCCTTGAGGGAGCATAAGAAAGATGAAGGGTCGTCCAGGAAGGACATCAGGCCATAAACTCTCAGCAATGGTCCTTTACTTAACACGGTGTTCCTCTGGACCTGCAACTTCCTAAAGTTCACAGTCTACTTACCAGGAACTTACAATCCAAACAAACACATTTCTCCATTTATTTCTCCTCAGTATGGACTTCCTGTTTTAGTGGAGTATGGGTGTTTGCTTTCTCACTGGGTGTAGTCAGCATGGAATGGCAAAATCCAGAAAGCTCCTGACAATGAGGAAGTCAGACAGGAGTGCCAGAAAGGTGAGCCAACCTTGCATGTCAGTAAATATTTCAGACGCAGGATTTTTTGTGTTTGTTTCTTTTAGTCAACCCAGGGTGGCCAAGTAGACACGCTTATCCCTCTTCTCTGGAAAAGGCTGACTATGGCTGTGTTATGTCTGTGACATTTCCCGGCTTAGTGACTCCAAGACTCTCCCTTATAAACACTTAGCAATTTCTTTTCTTTCACTGCAAAAACTTTAAAACTGACAAGGCAATTGAGAAAGTGCTCACGTGGCAACATGCATTTTTAAAAGGTTCCAAAATGTTGAAGATTTGTGCAAATGTTAGCTCGTCTTGGTGTAACACTGCGAGGGGACTAGCAAATTCGTGGCACTTGCAAGACCTGCAAAGTCGGTCTGATTCTCGCATCCTTGTGCGATCAATACAAGTCTCCATTACCACCACAAATACATCTCTTCTCAAACTGCTCCGGCAGCAGAGCTCTAGCAGGAGATGAAAAGTAAACAATCTAAAAATAGCTGCTCACTAATTTCCCTGTCGAGAGAGGCAGATCTGACCCAGGAAGGGAGTCTCTGGGCTGCCGGGGGCTGTGGCTGGTTAAAAGCTTTCGCCATCCCCAGTGAGCTGGTGGTCATCTGGGGTCTGTTTAATCAATTTGGGGCTCTGGTTTTCTTCCTCTTCCTGCCCACGGCCTCCTTCTTGGTCACCCCACTTCCCATGAACATGCCACCAGGTGGAGGCACCAGGAAAACATAGATGGATTAACTCAAGCAGGTCAATCGAAAGACTTTCAGAAGCAACCTACACGGATGTAAGAGTGGGCTAAGCGGAGGGTGGTCTCTGAGCCCGCTGTGAACTTCTCATCTCCGGCCACCTTTGCCCCTTTGCTACAGCCACAAATAACTAGGCGTGAACCAGACCAGAGTGTCTCGAACATAAGTCAGCCTTCTCTCTCCTTCTGTGTCTCTGTGTGTGTGTGTGTGTGCATGTGTGTGAGTGTATGTGTGTGTGTGAGTGTATATGTGTGCGTAGGTGTGTAGGGGTGTGTGTGTGTATAGGTGTGTGTGTGTGTGTGTGTGTGTGTGTGTGTGTATGTGTATGTGTGTGTACAATCTGAAACTTCCCATATCCACTGGAGTTCTAATATGTAGAAGAGAAGACGCTGTCATGCCTATAGGACAGGGGACAGCAGATACAAAGGAACCTGCTCCGATGAAGCAAGTGTTCCACACAGAAGCTGGCAGGATTGAAGGTGAGGGGGACCCCCTCTTCAGTTGCCTCCTAGCTGGAATGGTGCATTCTTCACCTGAATTGCATTCGGGAGGCGTCCTTCCACTCCCCTGAAAACAAGCTGCTCCAAACATCTGCGGGGAGACAAAGGCAAGCATGAGGAAGGGACCCGGAGATGAATATTTCAGCAGAAACGTGGGAAGAAATACGCTGCAACTTGCAAGCAGCCTTCTGTACCACATGCCATAAATTAGCACAATATAAATTTATACATATTTACACCACATAGTCTCTAACTATATAAATCTTCAATACTCAAACTTGTGGAGTAGGTGTAAGGGAACAGTCCATATGCTTATTCATGTTCCATGGAGCTCTAGGGAACTTTAACATTGCCTTCTCTCGCCTTGTGTAATTGGACATATATTACATATATTGTGTTTGAATAGATACACATATGATATATATTTTACAATTACATATAATAATATATTAATTATACAATTATAGATGCAATTGTGTAAATAATTGTACATGTATGCAATTTGAGAGAAATATAAATATACAAGACATGTTAGTTCTAAGGTTTAAACTAATACCTAAAGGCAAAAATATTTTTAAAAACATTACCCTTTTTATCCTAAGGCCTTCGCAGGCAAAGAAAAAGGTACTTGCTTCAATTGAGCACTTACCTAGATGACTTGAATATTCTAACACTGTTAATCATGGCTCATCTACCCAGAGATGGTGTTGAGTAAACATTTCAGAAACGAAAAAGATAATGGGGGGGGGATGGGGGCTGGAGAGATGGCTCAGCGGTTAAGAGCATTACCTGATCTTCCAAAAGTTCTGAGTTCAATTCCCAGCAACCACAGGGTGGCTCACAACCATCTGTAATGAGGTCTGGTGCCCTCATTCTGCAGGCACACACACAGACAGAATATTGTATACATAATAAATAAATACATATAAAAAAGATAATGAGGGGACTGTTTCATCCCTTACCCCCCTTAAAGCAAATAAACATTAGTGCCAGGCATCATGGCTGCTGCTTGAAATCTCTTTGCTGGGGAGAAAGACCTTGCAGGTGCTGGGGCAAGGCAATGGCTGAACTCAGAGTTGGGTTTTGTGCCTGAATCTGCCATTTCCTTAGTCCCCTGTTCTCCCTGAGGATAGGTGGAAGGGACTATCAGTTTTGAATATCTAAAATATGGTACAAAGGCACGATACAGCATTGATATGAGAGTCCTTGGCAACTGCCTTGTCTTTATATGTACTTTCCAATCATTGTTATGGTTTCTCTTCTAGTTTGTTCAGCAAACAAAACACATTCAGTTTCTTTTACACTTACAGCTTTCTTGAAAGCAAGCTACAGCTGGGTTGCTGCTGACACTGTTTCAGACGGAAGCTAGCCAGGGGCTGAAGAGATGACTTAGCATACACTATTCAGACGGAAGCTAGCCAGGGGCTGGAGAGATGACTTAGCACACGCTATTCTTGCAGAGGCCCTGAGTTCAGGTGTTAGCTCTGTGCTCATAACTGTCTGGAACTCTAGCTCCTGTGGTTCTTCTGTCTTCTGGCCTTTACCAGAAACTGCACATGCATGCACATACATGCACACACATGCACACACATGTATTCACACACTGATGACAACAACAGTCTCTATACAGTTCTGTGCCCCTGGTTCACTAGGACTTATCTTTCCTTCTTTGCTCATGAGCGGATACTGCTAACAGCTCATATGATAATCAGACAGGAAACACTCCCTCTTCTGCCCACATCCTTACAGTCATGGAGAGAGGCTCTACTTCACAGAGATGCCTTTAAACCCCATGTGGGGGTCAAGATATAATCTATGGTTATGGATAAACTGGGGGAAGCTACATCCTCATGGACACCACCCATGTACCCTTCCAGCCTCAGTGCCACTGTATCCAGCACAGCAGAGAGTACAGCAGAATCCCTCAGGCCCTTGCTCAGTAAACTGACTGGTAACTAAGGCATTCCTATGAGGACTAGGTTTTGCACGGGTAAGGAAGAACAGTGTCTAAAGGGCACAGAGGAATGCCATCTTAGAGGAAACCTCACCCATCCTCCTCCTTATGTCTGGAGGGAGGATCACCAACAAAGGACAGTGACTCTTCTCTTTTTCACCCTTTTCTTCTTTTATCTCCATCACACTCTGCTGGGGATAAAGCAGGAAGTTAAGAGTGCCCAGTCAAGACTGACATTTCCAAAGCTGAGATCATAGATCACTTTCAGTGGCTCATATGAATCCTTTCCCAGAAAAAAAAATGCATATGACGTAAAACTGTAAATACAGTTTTAGAAAGCTGATTGACACCTGTGCTGTATAGCTTTGTGTCAACGTGACACAAGCTAGTGTCATTTGAGAGGAGGAAACTCAATTAAGAAAATGCCTCCATAAAACCTGACTATAATGCATTTTCTTAATTAGTATTGATGAGAGAGGACCTAACCCATTATGGGATGTGTCACCCCTAGGTTGATGATTCTGGGTTTTATAAGAAAGCGGGTTGAGCAAATCATGAATAGCAAGCCCGTAAGCAGCACTCCTCTATGGCTTCTGCATCAGCTCCTGCCTCCAGGTTCCTGCCCTATTTGATGGAATTCTTGTCCTAACTTCAGTGATGGACTATGATGTGGAAGTGTAAGCCAAATAAACCCTTTCCTCCCCAACTTGCTTTGGTTATGATGTTTCATCACAGCAGTAGTGACGCTAAGACAACACTCTAGTCCAATTGAAGAATATAGTCATTATACTCTTTAAGGGTAGAGTCAGCTAAAGTTACAGAATGGGTAGAGAGTAGCAGACAGAAACCAAGAGACAGAAAGCATCTCAAACCAGGTGCTCTGAAAACCCAACATTCTACAGCATGCAGCAGCTCAACCGAGTGAGTACACAAAGGGTACCATCAAACCAGGGTGATGGAGAAATGATGGAGAAAAGAGTAGGTTACTGAACCTATTTTAATCTAAGACACAACTATTAATCTTATATATTTTATATTGGGATAGATGTGTGTGTGTGTGTGTTTATTTATGCAATTTTAAAGTTAATTTTGTTATATTGTATGTATATTTCTACTTCTGTTTATGGTATTGTGCTTATATACTTCATTAAAAAATGTAATGTATAACTAAGAAATACAGATTACTAGTCATCTACAATAGCAGACTTAAAGTTATGCTAGTTAGGTTTTTCAAGGTCATATAGAAATATATTTCAGGTAGATAGGCAATTTTCAAACACTTCAAAGACCTGCAGATTATGGCATTGGAAATATTTTAAGAACTTAGACTTTCTTGACAGTGAGACTCTTCTGCTCCTGGCAGCGCCAATTAATTCAAAGAAAATGATGGTCACTGAAGAAACCTCTATATAGAGTTTGTTTTCTTTATGGCAAAAGCTAGCCATGTGTGTTGACTGAGCTTTCTGTCCTGCCTAGTTCCTACAATCATTAAGTCCCAAAGAAATCACACAGAGGTCTACTTTAGTTGTAAACTGATTGGCCCTTTAGCTCAGGCTTCTTATTAACTTTTATAACTTATATTAGTTCATTTTTTTTATCTATGTTAGCCAAATGGGTTGGTATCTTTTTTGGCAAGGCAGTCATATCTTCCTTTTTCTGTGGATGGGTCATGACTGTAGAGAAAATGAGCTTCCTTCTTCCCAGCATCCTCCTGTTCTTATTGACCTGCCTCTACTTCCTGTCTGGTTTTCCTGCCTATACTTCCTGCCTGGCTACTGGTCAATCAGTGTTTATTTAAAATATAATTGACAGAATATAGACAATTGTCCCACACCACATGTGGGAAAAGAAATTGTCCCTGCCTCAACTTTTGGCAGTTACTCTCTAAACTGGATCAACAGGATGCAAGAAATGTGACTACTGAACTTATCCAAGACAAGGTAGGACAGTACTGCAAAATTTCCAGTTTCATAGGAAAGTCTTTCAGATACTCCAAGCCTGTAGGCCAGAGTTGGGTGCCTGAACATTGCAGAGGAACTTTGGGTGACTGCCTATTGTTAAGTAACATTTCACCATTCTGGGATCTTTGATGGAGTTGAAGACAAAATAGTTATAATTATAGCTTTCTTTAGTTATAATAGAAAGTAAATTAAACACAAAACCTTAGACTCAACAAGATAAGAAAGATAATTAAGTCTTTTCTCTAATTTTGCCAAATGCAAAATTGGATTAGATATTGTTGCTATAATTCTTGCTTAATAACTTTTGTTGTATATAGTTTTACTATATTAAGGTCAAAACCTTCCTTTTTAATTAGAGTAAAAGGGGAAATGTGGTGGTATAATTCTCTTGTATATTGTAAAAATTTATCACTCAAATTAGTTTAATAAAATGATGATTAGCCAGTAGCCAGGCAGGAAGTATAGGAAAGGCAACCAAACTAAGAATACTGGGAAGGAGAAGGGTAGAGTCTGGAGATGCCAACCAACTACTGGAAGAACAAGATGTATTAGAACACAGGTAATGCCACTAGACATGTGGCAAAACATAGATTAGTAGAAATGGGTTCATTTAAGTTATAAGAGCTAGTTAGTAGTAGGCCTGAGTTATAAGCCAAAGAGTTTGTAATTAATGTTACACCTCTGAGTGATTATTTAGAAGCATCCATGGGACAGGGCGAGACAGAGAAATCTCTGTTTACATCAGGGCTGGGGTACCAATGTCTGGAAGAGATCCACTGGGGAAGCCCCGCTGAAGAAGTCGGCAGAGTGCCTTCCCCCACCATGATGCTTCCAGGGGAAATAATGAATGGCAGCAGATAGATGACATCATCAAATCAGGCACCCATGATGTCCAGCAGAAACCAACCTGTAGAGGGGTGTTTCCTGTTCTGACTGCCTGGTCCCAAATAACCAACTCAGAGGGGGAATATGAATTACAAATGCTTCGCTTGATAACTCAGACTTGTTACCAGCTAACCTTGACACTTAAATTATCACATATTTCTATTTATGCTTTGTCATATGACTCATGGCTTGTTACCTCATTTTCTGCATGGTCTGCTTGCTCAGCGGCTGGCTGGCATCTCCCTGACTTGGCCCTTCTCCCCAGCATTTTCAGTTTGGCTTTCCTGCCTAGCCTTATTCTGCTCTTTTTTTTTTAAAAAAATTAATCAATGATAATAATACATATCCACAGCATACAGAAGGATTATTCCACAACATGAACCAGAGTAGTCGAGCTGAGGTTCCTAGTTGAGCTTTCTTTCCACGAATGAGAGTTCCATGACAGGACTTCCAGGTTTCTGCTTTACTGCACGAATTCTTACATTTTGGAATAAAATTCCATCATCAAGGTTAGAAATCTTTCACCTTCTAGTTGTTCTCAAATAATTTCAATACTCTTAGCAGTTTGCAGTCTTCCCTTCTCCTTATTACAGAGTTAGGGGGCCAGCCTGCCTAAAGACAGGGACTTTAGGCAAAGGCAAGTGGGGGCCTCTTCACTCCTCAATTCTACTTTCAACAACCTTAAACAGCATATCATGATTTACCAAAATGATGTACCTTATACAGAGAAGGGACAAGACTTCAAAGCAAAAAACTGACTGAAAAATGGAAGTGGCTACTTGATTGACACATCTCTTTCAGAATATTTCATTATGCTGTGTGAAGATGTGTCACTGTTAAGCATCTTAATAAAGAACTGAATGGCCAATAGCTAAGCAGGAAGAGGTCAAGCAGGACTTCTGGGGACAGAGAGGACACTGAGAAGAAGAAAGGTGGAGTTGCCAGCCAGACACAGAGGAAAAACAGGAGGTGCAAGATGGAGGAGAGGTAACATAGATTCATATAAATGGGTTAATTTAAGTGGGGCCAGCCTAAGCTAAAGGCTAAACTCTTATAATTAATAAGGAATATCTTTGTTGTTATTTATGTGCTGGTGGCCAGTGAAAAAACGTGCTAGACACATCTCCCAAGCTTCCGTGTCTATGGAAGAGTTGTTGAAGGTGAAGCAAGTGTTGAAATAGTAAGAAAATAGAGCTCTGTGCTTGAGAAAAGAGTAGTAGTCTTTCAGTCCCAGAGGGAAAGCTCAGGGGGCTCACTATATATACAATGCTACTCTTAAGACCTAGGTAACTGATAACTTCAGAGGGTAACAGCAATGGAGATAAGAGGATTAACAAGCAAATGGAGCCTGTATGCCAATCAAAATATATCCAGGGCTGGAGAGATGGCTCAGTTCTTAAGAGTGTATAGTTCTCCTGGTCAGGACCATACTCTTAAATAATTCCCAGCACCTATACTGGGCCATTTCACAATTCCTGTAACTCCAGATTCAGGGGATCTGATGCCCTCTTCTGACCCCCATAAGTACCTGCACACATGTGCACCTATACAGACATTTTTAAAACTTACATCATTTTTCCCCACAATTTTCTGGATACATAGAAGCCATTTGAAATTTTAAATTATTCAGATTTTCTTATCTATCTTCTGCTGTGGGATAATGCTCCTGTATATTGTAAAGATTTGTCATGCATATTGGTTTAATAAAATGCTGATTGGCCAGTAGCCAGGAAGGAAGTATAGGTGGGGTGACCAGACTAGGAGAATTCTGGGAAGAGGAAAGGCAGAGACACAGTCTCAAGCCAGACACAGAGGAAGCAAGATGAGAATGGCTTACTGAAAAAAGGTACCAAGCCATGTGACTAAACATAGATAAGAATTATGGGTTGATTTAAGTTGTAAGAGCTAGTTAGTAATAAACCTGAGCAATAGGCCAAACAGTTTGTAATTAATGTAAGCCTCTGTGTGTTTCCTTAGGACTGAACGACTGTGGGACTGAGCGGGACAGAAACTTCCATCTACAATCCTCTTAGATAAAAATATCTATAGTGTATGTAAAATTGCTAGTTGAGCAAATGAACATGGATCATCATGTATTAAGACTTTATATTTCTTAAAACTTTTATAGGTTTCAGAGACTGCTAAGACGCTACAGTCTTAACAAAATTCACACTGGGTATGCTGTTTCAATATGAACTCAATATTTGAGGAAAAGGAAATTAAATCAGCACTTAAGTTGTTGTTTTCTTTTTTTGATCTACACCAGACTGGTGCGTCTGGATCCTGCGATCAAGATAGAATGTCATTATCCTGGTTTTTAGTCTGTGACCTGTCAGAGCGGACGC